GTTTAGTTATGTTGTCATTATGGCTTATCGAGGAGTCCGATATCCCTCGATATCTTAACGATAAGATTCGGTATTTTATCGATATTTTTAACAACATTTATTGTTATGTTACAGATTAATTACAGATACCATTTTTTGTTATAGTGTCGTTAAATCTGCGTAACGACATTTCTAGTTAGTGAAACTGTCGTTAAAAAGTTACAGAATAGGCCTACTGGACAAGTGGCACCGATTTTTCGGCGGCTGCGTATCCTAAAGCGAACCCCTGGACAAGTGGCACTGATTTTTCGGCAGCCGCGTATCCTAAAACGAACTCCTGGACAAGCGGCAAGAAGAAGAGAGAACAAAATGAGATTTATAGAGTGTCGAAAGATAATTAGGAACTGAGAGGAACTGAGAAGCGAAGTTTTGCGATCTCGTAAAGGGGGTGAGGCCGGAGCAGGTTATTACCGGATGATGGAAATAAAAAAGTTCGACTTACTGTTATAGCAGCCGAAAATAATTGTTGTACAGGGATGGGTTGAGATGTCTGCGCGATGGTCAAGTCCCAATCTTCCACCTTCACATGTAATTTTTAGATCGCCTACTAATTCTAATTATCAAAATCTTATCAACGGCCCAAGGCAACGATATACTCGAAAAGTGGACGTGTGTTTGGGATTGCGATTTATATAGGGTTTAGAAGGGATGAGAAGGTTTCGAGGATGCGATGGATTTCTGTATTAATTTTCGAATGAGAATTCGAGAAAAAATTGCAGGTGTAAGGGGAGCGGCGTCTCATAGATCATGATTGTTTGTTGTGTTTTTAGTTTTTCTGACGAATGATGGAATTAGTTTTTAAAAAATTCATCCGTCGTTTCACATCTTGAATTTATTCATTGGTGTGTCCGCCAACAGCTCTCGCTAATTGTAAACTTCTGATTGGCGTTTTCTTAGCTACACCTTGGTTTTGGGGATGTCGGCCTCGAACGATCTTGGTGACTTCCGCGTTTCTCGCACGTCGGCAAGTTCGATTTTGTTATTGGGATGCTATAAAATTTTGGATCGCACAGTAGAACTCTTATCTTCAAAATATTTATTGGTTTGGGATAGTTTGATTTCGAAATATATCTAAGAAGTTCCATTGTGTATCGAGTCTCGCGGTTTGTTTTTGAAAGTAGGCTCTTGGGAATATTGCAATTCGGCTTTTGTCGATAATTTAGATAAACAAAAAATTCTTTTATAAATTATTCGAGGCATTATTGTAGCGATGAGTACCTGTTAGTTCGCCGCGAAAGAGAAGAATCGTGGAGTCCGCCGGACGTAACACAAATGTTTGTAACTTTAATATTTGAGAACTGAAATGATAAATGTAAAATAGTTTATGTTTAACGCTAAGTAAAGAATAAAATATTTTAGAACTTAAAAATTATAATGCAATAGTAATCATACAATAGTAATAATAATAAACTATTCAAAAATAGAAAATATATAATTTCATTTGTGCGATTTTTGCACGCAACTTTCAATTTTTGTCCTACTGTGCAGAAGGTTAACGAAACAGCGCGACTAAACGCTTCAATGTCCCTTTGCAATAGCGAATGTCAACTTGATATTGCTGCACTTCGTATGTCCAATGTCTTAAGTAAATGGAGATTCAAGTTGCTGTTGCTATTTTAACGCTTGATAATCAGCGAACTATGGCTATTTCCAAGAATTGTCGAATATTTTTAATTCTGGAAAGTCATTTAATAATAAAACGTTTTTTCTCGACATGTAGTAAATCACAAGGGGATACAAACCAATCCTCCAACAGGATTGGTTGTAATTTACTACATGTCCGTAATTCGAATATACAGAAACTTGACCTGAAATCGGATAAACAATGGAATCGCGAAGATGCTATAAGTGTTTCTCGAATGAGTGACAATTATATCATCAAGATATGTATGGGATTTTAATTCCGATGATAATAACTAATAATCATTGGAACATGATGCGGAACGCAATCCGAATGGATTCAATGATCCGCATAATCATGAACTGTATCAATTTCTAGCCAGGTGCGATGAACGCAGTGAGCGGTCGGCTCTTGGAGGGAGAATGGTACCTGTCAATAATTGTTTCCCAAGTCGATAGTAATTTGTCCAACGTCACTTATTTGCGAAAGCGGATAGATGTTTCATTCAATAACGATTTTAATTTTTCGCAAGTCAATACAAAAATGTGGTTTATCGCAAGTCAATACAAAAATGTGGTTATCTTTCTTACAGACTATCAGAGAACTCCACGCGCTAGAAAGCTCGACTATTCCTTTAGCATCTGATGGATTTCGATGTATTTCTATAATCGATGGATTTCTTCTATAATCTCTTGCTGAGATTCGCAGACGGTACCATTGTTTGATTGGTGTTTGTTCAATGAGTCATATATGATGCTGTATTCAGTCGGTGGGGGTCCGTTGAACTTCCTCAGCATGTCCTCGAAAAATATTCGCTCATCCTTGGACGTTCGACAGTATTGGTAATATACGTATTGATTATCGCGATTTCAATAGAAAGTGAAAATCGAAGAATGATTCCGCATCCTATGAATATGGCGATTTTCAGTTTCCATAAAATAGATAAGTATATTACGCGACTTGATGGCAGAGACGGAAGGGTAGACGCATAGTGTGCTGGCCCGTTCGTGAGCCGTATCTGATCTTTCTTGGCATTAAGTACGAACTGGAATCGTAATAATCGCGCGATTATCGAAGACGTGGGATAATCTTCTATATATAAATAAATATATGCATATACATGCAATATATTTTTCTATATTATATAAATATCTTGCTACTTATGTAAGTACATATATGTACATACTTATTATATTAACATTGTTCATTTTTATTAAAAAAAACAAACAAGAATAAAAAAGTTTCAATGCATAAAAAATTTGTTTGCGTATTATTATCTAAATGTTTTTCTACATAATAAAAAAAATTATGTGTAAAAAAAGAAAAAGATTATATAATATTGAAGCACGAACACGCAAATCAAATTTTTAATCTTCACTTAATTTCGCCGAACTTTTTTTTATTGCAGTGATACCAATACTAAAACCGCGATTTCTCGTTAATAATTGAATATTCCAAATAATATTTGTTACTTCTGTATCGATACTACATTTTAGCAGAAATTCAGCATAGTCAATGACCCGAAAGCTGGAAGTTTCCTTTATGAATTATAATTTTGAGATAATTTTAACCATAAAAAAGTGATCAAATTCCAAGATAGTTTTAAGATGATACATAAACTTATTGTTTACTATATAATTGCTCAATGTCCAATAATACATTTTCTAAAAGGCACGAATTATGACACGTTCTTTCAATTATTTCAAAATAGACAAAGACAATAAATTTTAGTCCGGTATTTTAAATGATCAAATTATTAAATTTTATTTCATTAATGGGACATTAAATGGACAAAAATTTGTAACAGGTTCGGAATATCTACATTGATAGAAGATGTCATTAAGTGTTTATCAGCCTACATAGTATTAATTCATTATTCAGCTACTCAAGTACTCAGTCGAAAATATCCAAATTATTAGAATGTAAGATATATATCTTAGTCAACACGTTCATCAGATCTTAGAATTGCCATTAGAATTTTTTTTTAAAGATAGCTAAAAAAAGTGTTTAGTGACCTACTACGCCAAAAGATATGATAAATTACATAATTAAAGCTTGCGTTGTTATTATGTCAGAAACAATTGAAAGAGCATCACAATCCATGATTGTCCGCTCTAGAAAGTTATTATAATCCGTATTTATTAACTAAAAAAAAAAGTAGAGCACATTGCAATGATTAACCAAATTTTAAAAGTCTTTTGTAAGACTATAAAATATAAATCTTGAGAGTTATAAATAACCACCTGATATAATTGCGAAAAAGCAGAATCAACAAATTCTTAAATGTGTCCAGCTAAATCGTGCGCATTTGATTACAACACGCCTATGCAACCGATCTGATAAGACAGTCAAAACGCTGACCAACTATCCAAAAAATTATTTATCTTGTGATAACATGAGAGCAGAGTCAAATTAATTCGTGCGTCATAATTATATCACATTACTGTCTACGGAACGATACGTGTGTCACGCGTCGAACCAAGTCGCTCGAAACCCGAGTACCGTTATACGAATGCGAACCGAACATTATGATATTATACTAAACAATCTTTATAACATTTTGTCAATAAAATAAGTGTTTTTTATACAAGAGTGTGATAGGTGACTAAAAGATTTCCTTTTCGAGTATCCTTTTCAGAGTTCGAGTATCCCTTTCAATTCCTTAAGCAATCAAATCTCATAAAAAAATTATTTTGTCATACTCAACAGTACAAGAAGTATCGCTGCCGATATTATTTAGCATAATTATAACATAAACAATAAGTTTACGTATCATCCTAACATCTTTAAATTTCATTATCTTTTCGTGTTCAAATCAATCTTAAGATCATAATTTAGCATGCTTTAATGTGCCAATTTCAACATCTACTACACAATATAATAGAACAAAATATGTTTTCCAGAAAAATAATACGAATTTTTTTCTAAAAGAGGCATGACATTGATACTCGTATCTCTCGAAATTTATTTTCTCGAAGTTTATTGTTGACACTTTTCCGCGATGCTGATTGATTTTCCCGTTGCGCAAACTTCGTGAATAGATCTCACAGCGAGGATCGTTTTGACAATTGTGTATATTAAGAAGCTAAAAATATTATAGTATAACAATAGTATAATAGTATTATATTAATTTTTGCTCTTGTGTTGAAAAAGATAAATAGAGCGCGCGCAGCGTGCATTTGTAATACCTAGTCTTAAAAAATTTAAAAAAAATGACTGTAAAAAAATTTT